TGTTTTGCTGGATTTGAACCAGCAATCTACTGTCTCAAGTGGGATATGTTGTCAGGGAATACATCTGGATCAGCATCATCCCCTGCCAAATACTAGTATTAGCGTATAGCATATGTGTTGATGGGCCATGTGATGGGTTGGTTACCTCATAGGTTTAGTTCAGGGTTTATCTCATGTAACGTTGAGCTATTGTATGAGTTGGGAGGAAGCTCCCGTTCACTTTTACCTAGAGTATAACTAGTCGCTTTACTGCTGGTAGGATTGGGCATACGACGTTCTTGTATCTTAATTACCTGTTGGAGACTACTTACTTATTCGAGCTATCTGTATATCATAACTCCTACCCAGTGATATTACCTATCTGAGACGTCTCCCTTACATATGTGTCCAAGCTATCCAGACTCTACTTGGCAGACCGGCCAAGACAATGTACCACCGCACCATCCAATCATGACGATGTTTATAGTGTCGCCTGCACTCTCGCAACCGATGTCTTGGCACGCACAAAGCTCAATTTGTAAAAACTCCTTGCCAAAATTCAAAATTCCAAGCCCGTCGAGACTATATCCATCCTCTGCATCATCTTATCAACTTGTCCTGATCCCTCTCACATCCATCCTAAGGAATTGTCTTCCAGATTTGTGCGCCACGCTTTGCTTCCTCAGTCGGGTGTAAATATCGGCGTGGGCGTGTATCTGGCGACCAGCTAAGGCCAAAGAAAGTCGAAAAGAGGTGTGGTCATTGGAATGAGGATGTACTAGGTCGTACTTATAAACTTGATGAGGCTTAGGTAGGAATCGATTTCGTTGGGAGTGAAAGATTGATATGGTGGAGTATTTTGAATCATTGCCTCGTGGGCCAACTTCTTTGATATTGCGAAATTTGACTGAACTTGGCTCTGGGAGAATATTTCACTCCCAGGTTTGTAGAGGACACCGCGTACAGGTGTTCAGTCTTGCCCTCCTGGAGCGTTGACCGTTTGCGTGCGCAGACCTACCTCAGAGTGGTAATTACAGATGGAATCCAGAGCACGAGCGTCTCTCACGTCAAAAAAGGCATCGAACATGGATAAATAGCACCAATCATGTGTCATAGCTAGGTAGCTGCATACGTAATTAAAGTCTGATGCAAAAAAAAGACATGTGTGTGTGGGTTTATTGTGCTATTTGAGTCTAAGACATTTAAACACATTACTCCTCTCTGACCCACGCCTCACCCTGTTCGATGCTCCTAAACTCTTTTTTTTACGAAATGATATCTCGGACGTAAAACCGATGGTGGATAGCTGTTTAACTAAATGTTTACCCGTGGAATTCAGCCAACTTTGCCACGGATCTTTCTACCCCAGAAATGGTAGTAATGGAAACTGCGTGCACGGAAAAAAAATATCTTACTCTGCAGCCACAGCCAGGTGAGGCCTAGAGAACGGAGCCACATGAGGTGCACATATCCATCCATATCTCCCTTCTTTGTGATAGTAGAGGGCAACTCGATCAAATCCACCACCGCCGTATCGGGTGCTGGGTATACTTTGAAACTCATCGGACGGCTTCTCTTCCATGATTAATCATGGGGGATGAGTAGGGCTTTGAACCTACCATCTGAAATGATTGTGATTAACTTCATGGTGATGGTGTTAGTGAGATTTTCTGAGATGAAGATGAAACAAAGCCGCGAGTGGGATTAGGAATCCTCATAGAACTAGGGACGATAGTGTTGTTCAATCTCGACTCTGCAGACTCTACAGCAAGAGCTTGAGGTTCGTAGAGGAAACCACTGATAAGCGTTGAGTTGATATCCTCCTCTTCAAAGAAGAATCTGAGAAGCTTGAACACTTAAACTTAATGTAGAATAACTGCTGGTTTGAATTTGATAGACTCTCCTACCATAACATTTGGCGAACACATCTGACCGAACACAATACAACACTTTTTTTTCATGCTTTCCTTTATCCGCAAGTCCACTCCTACCTAGGTAATAATATTAGCGAATGCGATCCATATAGAGCGATCTAACCTTTACCCACGAATACAAGCTTCTTCACATTGAGTTATCCTTATTTGTACAGAGTTCAAGCCCGGCACTTTTAAAAGTCAATATCTCATGATCGAACGAATGCATGCACAATCTAACAGACGAAATCGTAGTTGATGGTCTCATCTAGAAATCGCATCTCCCGTCATGCTGAATCTCGATTCCAAACACGAGTCATTGTGGATTCTAACTAATCATCTTCTATCTCAAGTGATATAGGAGCTCAGACCATGGCGAATCCACGTCAGGTGAGTCGGCTGGATGATAAGCTTCTGCACCATCCGGCGTGTCTGGAGACATGCAATTTGAATTTGAATTTGAAATCTTTTACGTGACAGGAAGAACCTAACATCTATTTAGACGTGACACGGGTAGATGGGCTCTGAAAGCTCATTGCTACCTACATGACCGGCAGTGGGGCCAGAAGCGACAAAAGAAAAGATTGAAAAAAAAAAAAAAAAAAAAAAAGAACAGTATGTGTCTGAGTTACGGTGCCCTGCGCCGCATCCCTATCTTCCACACCCATCTACTCTCGGGTCAGAAACAATCTCAGCGTGGTCACCTCCCACCCTGTTCATTCTTCGGCAGACTGTAACATCGGCTTGTAGTTAAGAATCGAATGAACTTCTGCCATCCATTCTCCCCTATCATTTCTCTGGCCCCAGGTGGGGCCATTTTCTCACAGATTCTCCAACGTAGCAAAGCAGGTCGGCACTCTGAAAAATGCCAGGGCCTTTTCTCTCGGCCGCAAACGCATTTCAGATCTTCATGTTCGGGGTTGAAACGTCGATGGTAGTCGGCATAGTCCCCGTGGCCTGTTCTTGCCGCAATAAGACGATGGTACGCCCTGGAGACATGTAATTGTTAGACCGTATCTTATTCTATCCAGCCCCATACTAATAGGGCGATTTACTTATCCTCTTTTAGTGACACCCTGCCACCCGCCCCTCGGAGAGCAGATTTGAAAAGCTCCTTGCTAGTTTGTGGCCCTGTGGGGAGGCGTTTGGGCTCCACTCTGTATAGCCCCACATCCCCAGGATTGCTCGCGCCGACGAAGCAGGCCTTAACATGTCTTACCATCAACTACGACCGTTCCAGCCTTTGGCAAGCTGCACACCCCTCGATGTGGATTCTAGCACGAAACCCTCACCAGAAAACACGTTGTTAAAATGACCTGAGTCGTGACCCTCGATCCGATAATCAACCCGCTCGCAGGCCCGTTAGAAAGACTAGGAGCGTCTTTCATTAAAAAAATAAACGGGACTCTTAAGGACATTCATTAAGCATACCTCGCTTAGGTGACTAGTAACAGGGATTCCTGGATAGATCCTCAGCCAATGCTAATGCGATTAACGAATGCTGGCCCGTGGAAATGATGAAACGAATGACGAGTAGACATGATTGAATATTTTTCAATAGTGCAGGAGACACTATAAACACTGTTGTGGTTAGATGGTGTGTTGGTATATCTTCTGTCCCGCCCCCCGATCACATTCTCAATAGCTCAGACAAAAATCTCGCTCGAAGAAGTGAGTTGCTTGTACGAATCTGGCAAAGCATTACCAGATTACTTGTGGTGCCAGTATGCATCGATGACGAAGGTAAACATGGATAACCAAAGGTTTTGAAATTTCCTTTTGTTGGGTACTCACGGAGGAGGGCCGACTGTTTGTGTAAGCAAGCATACCTTAAAGTAGTATTTGCGAATGAAATCCAGAGTTTGAGTGTCTAATGTCAAAAGAGGTAGCGAACATGGATGAATAGCACCGATTTTTCTTTTATTCATTAGACATTAACTGCATATGTAGCTATCTAGCTACGACATATCAAAGAAAAGAAGGTAGTAGATGACTCAACGTAAAGGAAGAGCACTCATGCCTCAGATTTCATTTGCAAGTACCACTGCTAAGTTATGGCGGCTTTTTCTTCACCCCAAGTCAGCCCTCATCCGTGAATACCCACCCAGAGGAACGTCTCAAAAACCCTAAGTTATCCAGACATGCCTCCATCATCCACTTACCCTTCTCCTTCCCAAGTGGAGTAGGTGCTCAGGCTGCTCGAACTATACCAGAGAATACCACCAGGAAGAGGACCACGGCACCTTCCATCGTTTGCTTGTGTTTGTAGTGCCTGCTGCACTTTGGCAATCGAAGGCTTGGCGCACACAAAGCTCAATTCGTAAAACTCCTTGCCAAAATTCGGAATTTCACGCCCTTCGAGGTTATATCCTTCCTTTGTATCATGTTGTAAACTTGTCCCGATTTCTCTCACGTCCATGCCATGAACTGCCACCCAAATTTTTGCGCCATGATTTTTGTCCTCTGACGGGTATTTGTATTGTCGTGGGGCACCGATCATGTATACTAGGTAGCTGAATACAATTGATTGGCATAATAAGAAAGCCCTTCCCATTTGTACGTGCACACTGTACCCAATAATTAACCAAGAGGGAAATTTGGCCTATCTAAACTAAATCATTTCATATAATCCATCCCAACTCCAAAAACACCTAGCCTCGGCTTTTTGCTGCTAGGTCCACATGACGCACTAAAAAGTCACACAATTTGGACACTTCAGATGTACTTCTTTTATTCATTTATTTTCACCGTACATAATTGATACAGGTTCATATTTATCCTGACTCCTAATAACACAAGAGTAGATAATTCTTTAACCAAGGAGTTCGAAATTGAACTATGTAAAAGCATATCTTTCGTTTATATTTTATCACAGATAGATCCTGACCACTTATACTGCATCTAAGGCAAACAACCCCAGATGAAAGAAACTAGTACGATTTAATTTGGTACATTCCCATAGGATGTCCTATGTTCAGATTCGCAGTTGCGCATGTTGTCATAAAATTCCATCCAAAGCGCAAATAATACCACGTAAAACACCGGAATTCACAATTCCACAACCTAAATCAATCTAGATGCTAGTAAGCTCTTTGAAATGAATTAATATCACATATTGGCCAATTCCGTGTCTATGGTACGGTCTAAGAACGCACGCTTTTCCCCCGCAAATTCGGTTTGTAGACGCTGCTCAACCAGAGCGTGAACTTGTTTCTTCGTTACATTATCAAGGTCAACCTCCCGAAGACAGCTCTGTACGGCCTCAATTATTGTCAAGTCGTCCGGACCATGGTCGCCTCTCATAAAATCAAATTGTGAATTAGGACGCATACCAGTTTCACCACCAAAAGATCCACGCATGCTGCCCATATTTCCGAGGCGCGTATGTGATTGTGTTGCTTGATTGGTAGATAAGAAACCACCGAAGAGATCTTGTGAAGAGCCCGTAGCTTGCATGCTTGGGCGATTTTGGGGGTTATCTTGATAAGGCGAAGTAGGAAGATCATGCATGTTAGTAGATAGCATAGATTGCCGATTGGGATTGTCGGCGTATGGGTTACTCGAGTACATAGACTGACGCGCCATACCGATTCCGGGAGATAGAGGAGGTAAATAGGCTAGCCCTGTTCCACGCTGCTGAAACCCAGTCAAGAATGTCGATGCTGGTTTAACTGAGGAATACATGGATTTCATATCATCCATTTCATACGTATCTTCATAATCATAACTCTTCTCTGCAGTGGCCCCTCTTCTTCCGGGAAGGTTATTAGCAGTGGCATAATCGTCCCAACGCTGGAGAGGAATACTTCGCGGATCGAAGCCCTCATCTTCTACAGCCACTATTTGCTTGTTTCCCTTTTCACCAATGACAATTCGGGTATTTCCCCATGTGAAGTTGTCCTGATTCCAAAAAGAGTAGATAGGTAGAACGAATGAATAAATTGGAAAAGCCAACATGTAAATAATCATCCATCCAATATGCTGCCATTGACGTTTGAGTATAAATATCAATGCTTGAAGCCCATAAACAGCTGCAATCATGATAATTGAGATAAGTGGAAATTGGCCTTTGTGCGTGGAGACATTATAAATTAAATAACCGAGATATGCACAAGTAGCAGGTAGAATTAAAGTACCGAAGAGATCGATGAAAACAACAAACCTCATGCTAAAACAGCAAAATCCGCACATTTCCTCTAGCCAGACTAGCTCGGCAAGATTGTGGATAGTCGAGTTGATCCATCGTCTCCTTTGAGATAGAAGAACGCTCCATGTTTCAGGAGCAGCTGTACTTGCATAGGCGTCTGGGATGAACTTATATGACATGTACGGAAAGTGCTTGGTCATGAGGGTGGTAAGAAATCGATCTTCACCGAGGGATAAAAGATTCTTTTTGTGAAGAGTATCAACAACGCAGTCGCTATACTCATGAATTACAGCGTCAGAGATTATAAGAGGCTTACCCTTATCAGCTGTTCTGAGCCGGTACATTGAGAAACTACATTTAATTAGAATTTCCTGAGCTTAGGTAATGAGGTAACTTACCAGCCGGGCAAACAGGTTACACTTCCGAATAATGATTCAAAAGCCTTGGCTAAATGATGAGAAATAAAATATTCGTACACCTGAATCATGGTCCACCAAGATCTCTCTTCGTTCTCTAAGCTAGTCTCACCGCAAATACCAGCAATCTTAGCATTATTGGCGCAAGCTGCCACCAAACGATTGAGAGAATCTTCGCGAACACTAGTATCAGCGTCGACCATAAGTAGGTATTCATAAAGTTCTGGATCCACTCCAATGATATTATTAATTTGATGGAAAATTTCAAGTTCCAGAGGATTCATGGGAGCACGGTGATGAACTCTATTGAGAAAGCTCATCAGTAGAATTTGAGAATCCCGTTTACCACGATTTCCAGGCTTTGATTTAGATTGTTCTGATTCTTTTCCTACCTTGACAACAACAATGTATGGCACGACATTGCCTTCGTATTCGTAAAGACCGGAATAAACTTTCCCATAGTTTAGCTGCTCACTGCTTTCTCCAACAGATCTAAATGGTAGGGCGGGAGGATCTATTTTCGGGTCTACACCAAGAATATCAAGAACAATTTTTGGCGTTGGACGGTCGTTACCGCCTCCCACGATCATTCCATCACATATAACACAAATTAGTTTTCTTTTGTTATCGTACTGTAGAGCGGTCAAAGAGTCCAAGGCCTTCCGCAAAGAGTCTTCGCCTTCTGTATAGGCAGGAACTTGACAGATGACAAACTTATCTTGTGGTATAGGACGCCGCTTGGAACCGAATTGTAACGCTGCAAGAAATTTGACCAGTATAACTGTGCATAAGATGATTGTAAACACTAGCAGAATATAATTATTGATTTGACATTGGACTGAATCCCTAAAGTCGGGAATTCCTGCATAGAAAGCATTGTTCATACAGTTCAAATTATTCGCAAGTACGACTTGTTGCGTTCCGTTGGCCTTGGAGAAGTTTTTTTCCCATGCGTTAGTGATATCGAGTCCAGGATTCTCCTTAATCATAGCAGTTACTCCGCTATCAATAAAGTCGTATGAAGCTAAATTTCCGTACGTTGTTAGCGTGAAAAAGTAATCGGTCAAATCGTAGACCTTTCCCTTAAGAATAAACCAGTAGTGGTTATCGTCTTGACCTTCACTTGCTAGCTTGGTCTTCTTTATCACGAGATCGCCGTGATAATACTGTTTTATTTTTGGAAGGAATTTGGAACCGTACCAATTGATATCAGCCAAGGCACTGTCTGTGTATGGCGTGGCGGGGCCAGAAGTGTGAATACCGGATGGAAATTGTACAGTATTATTCGATAGAAGCGCCATGCTGGTATCTTCTACGAGTCCAGGGCATGCAATAGTGAGTGGGGGCATGAAGTATTCATCTAAGTTCAAACCAGCGAAAGGCTCCATAACATCCTTTGTAGTTTGAATAGCAGTATCACTGTGTTGTTGTTTCCAAAATTTGGATATATCATATACCCTTCCGTGGATACTTACCCAGAAGTCATTTGCTCCTTGATGTGTGCTTAGCTCCTTGGCATCCCACGCCTTGTCAAAGTTAGGACACAGAAGGCGACCAAAAAATATTATCCAGAAAACAATGAGACCATTGAGGAGAACAATAAACCAGCAAAGTACTAGTTTTTCTCTCCAAGCCATTCGAACATCAGGGCGTTTCATACGACCAATGAATCGGAGAGCAAATGATGGGATCCAGAAAGTAAATGCCCAAACAATGGCAACCCAAATTCGACGGCTCGTACTCAAAGTTTCTGTCGTGACATCCTTAGAGTCGGCTATCTCAGCATCAACATCATTCATCAATCCACTTGTCTCGTTATGATAGAATATGTGACCTCTCCTTCCAGTATCGCCCTTAGTGCCGAGGCCGTAGTCACCTGCAGCAGTATTTCGAGTTGTAGGAGCCACAGAACGTGGCCCGCGGACGCTTACTGGAATAGTTGCCATACTTTGTTTTCTATTGAGCAAATGATCTCTGCTGTCTTGATGGGAAAGACCAGCGGGATTAAGAGCAGGAAAAAATCCACTGTCATTATTTGTATTGTATCCAGGAGAGTATCCAGTTTCTATACCATCGCCACATCCCCCGTGCGAAAATCCTTGGTCATCTAACGGCTTCAAATCGAGCATACTTTCTGCTTCCCACCAAGCACTCTCGCGAATCCAAATGCGTTCTATGCCAATGAAGACTTCACCGTTACTCCATCCACGTTCCATTATCCAATTTTCTACACCATCCCTTCCATCTTTACATCCTAGTGGTGCATATCTTTGGACAAATTCTTCGACATCAAAATCGGCTGTGAAATCAAGATGTTTATTTCGGCGATTAGCCCACTCCGGGAGTCTCCATGCACGCAGCTGCCTTGACACAGCTCCAGCAGACCATGCTGAAGTAGTAGACGGAAGTGCGGCCAAGCTAGCAGGTGACTCATCCGTTGGATGTATAGTAAGGTGATACCAAACACGACTACTAGACAGAATAGACGCAATCTCGAGACGTCCCTGGCGACCAATGTTTACTCCTTGTCCGTCGATTGGATATAAAATATTCTTCAAAAACCCACCTTCTTCTCCTTCGCGACCGATTTTTTCTAGAGCTGCCTCGCGGCGATCTCGTTGATGTTCACGTTCACGACTTGCCACTCCGGTGTTAATCCCGAGATCAGGAGCGACTTCGGCAACCGCATTTTGCATCTCACGTATGATTGAGCTGCTAGCGGCGACCACTTCAACTCCATCTTCTTTCATTTCGCTGTTTATACCTTGAGTGTCATCAAAAACGCCACGCATCGCCACAGCTTTTCCAAGAGCAGGATCTGGTAATTCTAAAACAGTTATACACACAGTATCACCATTATCATCCTCAGTGTTTGGTATTCCATTTTCGTCTGCAATTTCACCTTCTTTTTCCAGAAGCATACTGTTGGCAATAGCCGCGTTAGCTTTTAGAAGGACCCAATCTACGAGAGCTTCGTATAGTCCCCCGATCAAAGTTTCTCGTTCGGAAGTTGTGCACTGTTCAATTAAAGCTTCTGGGTTCAGACCGAGCAAGCCTCCGACATCTTCGCATATTTCGTCTAAAACTTCTTCATCTATAGTAAAACTGAGGGTGTTCCCAAGTTTTAGTAAGCCTGCCAAAATTGATATCAAGCTTCGATGGATTGGACCTTTAATTCCAATCGCCCTTAAAGAATTCCGAAAGTCATCTGCTGCCGCTGCATCATCGGCTGCTGGAAGGTAAGATGGTGGGTCATATGTGCCTGATTTTGATAAAAGAGCATAGTTGGATGCAGATTTAAGCCCAAGAAATTCTCTTTCAGCGGGTGTAGAAGCAGATGTTAGCAGGTAGTAGAAAACATCAAATGCGCGAAAGCCAGGCTGTTTCGGTAGCTCAAGTAGCCCTCTTGAGGTGTTGATCCCTCCATCTGTTAGTGTTAATGATGCTGCGGTTAAATTTCCTGCAAGAGATAGTGAGAGAGACACGCCTAGTCCAGAATGGCGAGGTGTGTAAGGGTTTTGGGGTGAGACAGTGTATAGAAAGGGCTTCAGGACATTCAAGGCAGTGAACAATATGGGAGGTATCGAGAGTGGAAAAGTTTCGAGGAATGGCGCAAGCAAAGAGGGCGAAGATTCATGTAGAGACCTAGCATGTGGATAAGTAGATATTAGATTTTTGATAAATTTATATTGCGTACCCAAGAATAATACACCCGTCTTCGGCACGACGTCTAGCGTGCTCCCAAGCTCTTGCAGATAGCGTGGCATCGACCGTCCCGCCAACTTTACCCTCGGAATTGGGCAATGATGCAGTTAGCCACGTGTTGACGACTAAGCTAGTGCCTGAATCAAGCTTGTGAGGCTGTGAAGATGTATAGATGGTGTGAAGGGTGTTCAGGAGGTTGGTAGACGTGACTTGTGTTGACTGAGAAGTTGAATTAACATTTCGAGAACCACCTAACGCAGACGATGCAGTGGAATAAATCGACATTCGCTGATTCCCGGCCATCCTGAAGCAAACTTGAGGATTTTAGGCCTCCTGTGCCCGGCTCCTAGGCAATTGCCGGTCAATGAACAAATAAATTTTATTTCAATAATACTTGAGATCTTTTAATTTTTAATCTCCCTATCCGATCAAGTCTACTTGTGAATCTAAGTGAGACTACGTCGCCCTACTTGAGGGCGTGAGGTGAATAATACTATTTCGTGGTTGAATATTGCAAATATAGTTGAAAGCGGCGACAATTTGGTAAAAGCGAATGTACCAGACCGTGTTGATTAATTTTGATGTATCGGTGAACTATTGGATAATGACTATGTCATAATCCTCGTGATACACTGTGGGTTAATTACAAGCTCAGTTGCCAAGTAATTGCCTATCCTTCGCCATGAAGGGTGCAAAAGATGAATATAAGACGATGAGTGTCCGTGGAATCTTGGCGTTCCTGTTGCTAAGACAAAGAAGCCCTCTAACATCGCCCTGAGCTACGGGGAGCTAGGTAGTTCTCAATGGGGTGGTACATAATTCAAAACATAACTAATGTGCAATGCTACTGCAGACGAGAACTATTATTAGATGATGTTTTATGAACAATGATCGGTCGATAAACAAAGCAGATGCAGGTTACAGAATAGGTTAATTAACAGCGCAGCAAAACTGTCGGGTTATTAGCTTCTCGAATAACATGCGTCAACGGTATAATTTTCTTGATGGGCTACTTGTCAATGTAATTCAAAGTATCCTTCTGATTTGAGTCCGTAATGACGAATCCCTGCTATCTGACCAGGTATCGTCTACGTGGCACTATTTTAAATTTTCGACCCTGCGGTTACGGCCGACATCTACTTCCAATAACCTGTCCGCATCACCCAAGGACTTATAACACTTTACCGACTGGAACCACAGTCAGCAACCTCCAACTCGACCATCAGGCCATGTATATTTCATGATTTTATTACCTTCTCGAGGATGCAATTTTCTTAAGAGTAACTTCAACCGGTACCTGTCAACTTTACTAATCTCATTACCTTTCAGTATCAGATTGCTTCTGAGAACATTCATCGGATCATTTACAGCAAATTGATCTCTAAAATTGTGACTTACCAGCACAATTTCCAAATTATAACAACTATTTAAAACCATCTTGACTTTCCAGGCTGTAGTTACTAGACAAATGAGTATCTCGGCATAACACTATGGCGATTAGTGATCTCCTCCCTGTTAACACAAACGGGTTTTGCCCGAGAAGTAATGTTATTTTTATAAATTAAATACAAATTCTAGGACAAGCTTGAGAATGGACATGCTTTTAACAGAGAAAAACCGTCGCGGGAAGAAAAGCTGATAATGCCAAGCGACTGACCGGTACGGAAGCTGTAGAAATTCTACTGATAAAATATAACCGTTCGTAGATAGATTCAAAGTTATTTTAACTCAGGAACACCGTGTAGACGGCACACAAATAGAGGCATTCGACAAGAACTTCATAAACACGATGCTACGCAGTATTGTCGTTCCGACTCATGCAAGTCGAAAATGCGTCCGAACGTCATGCACAGCGGGACAATGCAAGTGGTCGAAGTTATGAGAGATGGTACTAAGAATTAGGTAGACGCAAGAAGTAAATTTCATAACACATCAACTCAATTCAATTTCGTGTCATCCTCGGGCGAGTCTGATTTCACGATGACACGCCTGATTTGGGACGATTTTGTAGGAATTAAATTACGCACGGCAGAGCCTAGGAGATAAGCTGCATTTACCTCACCCAAAAAGACCACATCAACGCCTGGTCAAATAAAGTGATTGTCTATTTCACACAACTTGAAGTCTAAATAATTTAGAAAACCGGGCTACGTAATTTGCTCTTCTTATGTGGTGAAGGTAATGTGTGATGTGCATGATGTGTGGTGGTGAGGCAAGGGATTAGCAAATTATAACATTTCCTCCCTTCTCGCCTATTACATGCCGTTGACCAATCATACTGCGTGAGTACAAAGGACGGACGGACCAGGCGCGAGGGCTTCGTGGCTAAATGAGAGTCCATGCGGTATTGCCCCTGAATCTCGCATCCTAAAATAGTCCGCCCCGCCCGCCGCTCATCCTGGGGAGGAGGGAAGGGGACGTTTATCTTCCTTTTCTCGCATCAATGGGCCGGCCACTAATTGGCACACAGATTTTGCAAGTCCAGTTATTTCCCTGCTCCGTAAAGTCTATCGCTAGGGTATGAATAACGTGACGAAGGTTTTGGAAAGTCTCGGATGGAATATCCTTTTATTGCAGATCCTTTGAATCAGCCCTCGCGCGATCACAACGACCTTTCGTGTACGGATTCATTTCTCCAATCATATTTTGCAGGTCTCTGCATTAAGAGAATTATTCACAGATGTCATAGTTATTTTACTACACGCTCGCTATCAAATAAACTAGATTGGCTATTTTGTGACTTTTGCCTATATTCTAATTACAACGCCAAACAGAAAACGAAATAGCAGAATCTTGAGGTCTTCATGTCACTTTAGCTGGTCTCCGTTCACAAGCCTGACGTAGCCTAGATAATCCGAGACCAAGCCAGTCATTTACAACTAAGGATAAGGCTAATTCACTTATATCACCATCGACCATGGCCTTGAATCAGGGCGGTGGTGGTGCTCATTCTCAGCCATCACTCGTCGCCCTTCCACAACACCTTCAATCAGATACACACCTTACTGCGCATCTAGCTAGTCGATTTCACGTATCACTACCTACCGCTCAATTATCATCTCACGCCTTAGTTTGTATAAACACTTACTCATCTTCCACCAAAGGCCCAGATGGCGGAAAAGCAGGTAGTGCTATGGGAGGGGCTGAAGACTTAGCAGACAGGGCGTACGCCAGGCTAGGAGCTCGCTCAGAGAATCAAGCTATCGTCTTTTTGTAAGTTATTGCTTCTACAAGAGTCATAATAGTACTTGCAAATGTGATCTGTACTTTAACTGATAAGGAATTCAGAGGTGAATCAGGGTCTGGTAAAACTACCGTCCGTTCCCATCTACTTTCAGCATTTCTTAGCAAGTCTGCTACGCCTTTATCTACAAAGTTGTCATTGACTGCCTACGTGTTTGACACGCTAACAACAACGAAACTTGCAACCACTCCAACTGCATCAAAAGCTGGGTTATTTTTTGAGCTTCAGTATGATACGGCTTCAACTGTGAATCCGACACTCATCGGTGGCAAAATTCTTGATCATAGACTAGAGAGAAGTCGAGTGGCTTCCGTTCCCACGGGTGAGAGAAGTTTTCATGTACTTTATTATCTCCTAGCTGGGACCAGTACTGCAGAGAAAGCACATTTGGGACTCGAATCTTCTGGCTCAATTTCTTCCACTGTACACAGTCCGACACAGGCTGTTCACAATCAAACAGCAGCGTCACAAAAGAGATGGAGATACTTAGGACATCCTACACAACTTAAAGTTGGTATTAATGACGCTGAGGGCTTCCAGCTCTTCAAGACAGCACTTCGTAAACTCGAATTTCCTCGAAGTGAAATCGCCGAAATATGCCAAGTATTAGCCAGTATACTTCACCTTGGTCAGCTCGATTTTGAAATTACTGCTGATACTGCTGGGACGGGCGATGATAGTGGTGGCTATTCTCATGAAGGATCTCAAAGTATAACAGCCGTCAAAAATAAAGAAGTGTTGGCAATAATAGCCGCTTTCTTGGGGGTCGGGGCTCAGGATTTGCAGACAACTTTAGGGTACAAGACAAAGATACTCCAGCGGGAACGCGTTACAGTTATGCTTGATCCAAGAGGCGCGAGAAGTAACGCTGATGAGCTTGCAAGGACGTTATATTCGCTCTTAGTAGCCTACGTAATGGAGTGCATAAATCAAAGAATCTGTGCGGCAGAAGATACGGTTGCCAACACAGTTGCTATAATAGATTTTCCTGGGTTTGCTCAACAACCCTCAACCGACTCTACTTTAGACCAGTTACTCAATAATACAGCCACGGAATGTCTTTATAACTTTACCCTCCAAAGTTTCTTCGAAGCTAAAGCTGATATTCTAGAGAATGAAGAGGTAAAGGTTTCCGCCACTAGCTACTTTGATAATTCAGACGCTGTAAAGGGTCTCCTTAAGAACGGAAATGGACTACTAAGCATCCTGGACGATCAAACAAAGCGCAATAGAACTGATATGCAACTTCTGGAGAGTCTGAGAAAACGATTTGAGGGAAAAAATCCTGCAATCACAGTAAGTAGTGCTACTGCAAAATTACCTGGCAGTAACTTTGCAACTCACAACTCAGCTGCATCATTTTCAGTAAAGCACTTCGCGGGTGAGGTAGATTATTTAATCGCAGGTCTTATTGAGGAAAATGGGGAATCAGTTTCAGGTGACTTAATGAACTTAATTTCCTCCACAAAGAATACTTTTATCGGTCAACTATTCGGTCAAGAAGCTCTACAGACTGTAGTTCACCCACAAGAGAAAAATACAATCATGCAGGCTCAGGTCAGCTCAAAACCGCTAAGAAAGCCCAGCGTCATGCGTCGTAATGCTGAAAGACCAGCCAGGTCTAACACTCGTGCTGCAAAAGATCCATTTGAGTCAGTCGAAGAAGGATTAGATTCAAAGGAAGAAATAACAGGTCGTAGAGGACGCAATATCGATAACGGAGCCGCTGGTCAATTTCTTTCAGGTCTTGACAATGTTATGAAATCACTGACTGCGCCGAATACAAATCCCTATTTTGTATTTTGTTTAAAGCCGAATGACCGAAGAATTGCCAATCAATTCGACAGTAAATGTGTCCGCACACAGATCCAAACTTTTGGGATTGCAGAGATTAGTCAGCGCTTAAAAAATGCTGATTTTAGTCTTTTCATTCCGTTTGGTGAGTTTCTTGGACTTGCAGAAGCAGAAAATATCTTCGTTGGTAGCGAACGTGAGAAAGCAGAGACCGTAGTCGACGAAAGAAGGTGGCCGTCTAGTGAAGCTCGGATCGGAAGCACAGGTGTATTCTTGAGTGAGCGCTGCTGGGCGGAAATTGCTAGGCTTAGTGATAGGGGCTTTGTTACATCACGGTACATGGCTTCATCGGATGACGGTGGTGATGGTCTTTCTCCAGGAGTAGTACAAGGTGGTCACAGTGCATCCCGAGAACGTCTTCTTGGGACTGGTGCCATGAACCTATCTCCTGGAGGCTACATTTATGGCGGAGATAAGAAAAGTGGCTATTTCGGCAATGATGTTGACGCGCGTTCCGAGGCTGGTGCATCCGCACTAGGGCAAGGTGATATGTTTCGAAATCTTGATACAAGGCAGCAAATGGCAGAAAAAGGAAATGAAAAAACAATGGTTGAGGTGGAAGAAGTAAAGACAAGTTCAAGTAGAAAGAGATGGGTAGCTTTAGTTTACCTGATGACATGGCTCCTTCCTGATTTCCTTATTCGTTGGATTGGAAGAATGCCACGTAAAGACGTGCGTATGGCCTGGAGAGAAAAACTTGCTATCAACATGATGATATGGCTAACATGCCTTTTCGCTGCTTTCTTCATAGTGGTCTTTCCTATGCTTATTTGCCCCAAGCAGGATGTCTTCAGCGCGTCAGAACTTTCGAGTCATAACGGAAAAAGTGGAAAATCTGCTTATATTGCCATTCGAGGTCAAGTCTTCGACCTCTCAGAATTTGCGCCAAGTCATTATCCTAATATTATTCCTCAAAAATCTATACTAGCCTACGCAGGACTGGATGCGACCGCTCTCTTTCCTGTACAAGTTTCTGCGCTCTGTCAGGGTGTCAACGGAACTATAGACTCTTCTATTCAGCTCGATTATATGTCTACAAACACGAGTGGCTCTGCATCTGTTATCAGCTCTTCCGACACTAATTACAAATATCATGACTTCAGAGCATTCACTAATGATAGTCGTCCTGATTGGTTCTTTGAACAAATGATGCTCTTAAGAGCAAACTTTCGAAGGGGAAATATTGGATACACTCCGAAATATGTTTCAAAGCTCGCTGAGAACCAAGTTTCAGTGGCAATATTAAATGATCGTATCTATGATCTCACAAAATACCTTCAGGGAGGCCGTGCTGTTCGGGTAAGACCCGGAGATCCTGTCCCGACTGACATCAATACCAACTTTATGAGCTCTTTAGTCGTTGATTTATTTCAGCAAAAGGCTGGTCAAGATGTTACTAAGTTTTGGAACGCGCTTGCTATCGATCACGAAATGCGATCCCGCATGCAATTGTGTCTTGATAACCTATTCTATGTCGGTAACGTTGACACTAGAAATTCCTTAAGATGCCAGTTTGCGGAATATCTACTCCTGATTATTTCAATACTCCTATGTTCCGTTATAGGCTTCAAATTCTTTGCGGCACTTCAGTTTGGAGGTAAGAATATTCCAGAGAACCTGGATAAATTTGTTATCTGTCAAGTACCAGCCTACACTGAGGACGAAGATTCACTACGACGCGCAATAGATTCTGCAGCCAGGATGAAGTATGATGATAAGCGAAAGCTTTTGGTTGTTATATGCGATGGCATGATTATAGGCCAAGGAAATGATAGACCAACTCCAAGAATTGTTCTCGATATTCTCGGCGTTTCAGATACTGTTGATCCCGAGCCCTTGAGTTTTGAGTCGCTCGGTGAAGGTATGAAGCAACACAATATGGGCAAAGTATATTCTGGACTCTACGAAGTGCAAGGTCATATCGTTCCATTCTTGGTTATAGTAAAAGTTGGAAAGCCGTCTGAAGTCTCTCGTCCAGGAAACCGTGGAAAGCGAGATTCACAAATGGTATTGATGCGTTTCTTAAATAGGGTGCACTATAACGCCCCCATGAGTCCACTCGAGCTCGAAATGTATCATCAAATCAGAAATATCATTGGTGTCAACCCAACATTCTACGAGTACATGTTACAAATCGACGCGGATACTGTCGTCGGGGCTGACTCGGCATCCCGAATGGTCTCGGCATTCCTAGACGATACAAGATTAATCGGGGTCTGCGGAGAAACGGCTCTATCTAATTCAAGATCTTCATTCGTAACCATGATCCAAGTTTACGAATACTATATATCACACAATTTGTCAAAGGCATTTGAAAGCTTGTTTGGTAGTGTAACTTGCTTGCCCGGCTGTTTTACGATGTATCGAATTCGAGCCGTTGATTCTGGAAAGCCGCTGTTCGTAAGCCGAGAAGTTGTCGAACAATATGCTAATATCCGAGTCGACACACTTCACATGAAGAATCTTCTCCATCTTGGTGAGGATCGATATTTAACCACTCTGCTAATGAAGCACCACTCCAAATACAAGACCAAGTATATTCGAACCGCCCACGCATGGACGATTGCTCCTGATTCATGGCAAGTTTTTCTATCACAGCGTCGTCGATGGATTAACTCGACTGTGCATAATCTAATTGAGCTGATACCATTATCCCAGCTTTGTGGGTTTTGCTGCTTTAGTATGCGTTTCATTGTATTTTTAGATTTGCTCTCTACACTTGTTCAACCAGTAACTCTAGCCTACATCGTCTACCTAGTCATACTCGTTGTCTGGGACAGTCGAAGTTTGATTCCCACAACAGCCTTTATTCTTCTCGGTGCCATTTACGGATTACAAGCCATAATCTTTATCCTTCATAGGAAATGGGAGATGATTGGTTGGATGATATTGTATATATTGGCTATTCCAGTCTTTTCATTCGGGCTACCTCTCTACAGTTTCTGGCACATGGACGACTTTTCGTGGGGTAATACTCGGGTGGTCACGGGCGAAAAAGGTAAAAAGATTGTTATAACGGATGAAGGAAAATTTGACCCAGATTCTATCCCCCATAAAAAGTGGGAGGAGTACCAAGCTGAATTATGGGAAGCCCAAACCGTTAAGGATGATCATTCCGAGGCATCTGGCTACTCTTACGGTACTAAGTATCCAGTCGGGGCCTCTGAATATAACTACGCGCCCTCACGGCCAATTTCTCGTGTTGAGGGTGGTAACTCACCTTACGAAATCAAAAATACAGGAGCGTATAATTCTCGGATGTCACTTGCGCAATCCGATGCACTAGGGCTCGGTGAACAGCGACATAGCCAATTCGGAGGGAGTCAGTTTTTCGGCCAACAAGAACTTGAAATGTCCAACCTTCCCGGGCTTCCTAACGATGATGCTATACTAGCTCTCATACGGGATATTTTAAAAACAGCAGATCTTATGACGGTTACTAAAAAGAGCATTAAGCAGGAGCTAGAAAAGCGTTTTGGAGTCCCACTTGATGCACGGAGAGCATATATCAATTCTGGTTTGTATTTTTCATCCTAACATGCATCGATACTAATCGTTTTTAGCCACTGAAGCTTTACTATCGGGTCAGCTGTAGTGACCATCTTGACAGCATAAAAATATTTACGGATGGATGACAGTCAGGATATGAGCAAGACTGCAGCCTAAAATAAATTCTATCTAGAAGGGGATATTCTAGATTTCACAGACGTTGATGCGACCTTATGCGAGAATAATTGATTATCTTATCAGTATCGTGATGAGCTATTCTATCTCTAAAAATTTGGACTTCGATGTCACACGTAAGGAGGAGATAGCAGTGATGACGGTCATAAACAGACTCAAGTCGTCCATATCACATTAATCGCATAAAATCGACCCAACAGCCTAATTAAATTTAAACGCCATATCGACCAATAACATTAACCATAGAAACTTTCTTCGTTAAAAAGGAGCAAATTTGAAGATTCCATATTCGCTTGTGAGGCGTTCTGCGCGCGACTTGTTGGCTATTGTACACAGAATTTGCTTCGAGTAGGGTACAAGTTCGTAAACTAGTTCTTATAACAGTCTGTTTACTTTTCAAACGTAGTAAGACCCTCCGGGCTCTACAGCCAGTGTAGCTTAATATTTAATAAACTGTGCTACGTAATCTTTTCACGGTGTTTCACCCGATGCGAGAGCAGCTTTAATAGCACTGATGAAGCAAGCTTGTCAAAATCATGAGTATTATATGAAGAGGCATTCCGAAGTAAGAATTGCAAAGGTAACCCTCGAAAGGCTGGCAATAATCATTAGAAGCGATAGACACAGTTGACAATGCCAAGTAGAGGCTTAGTTTCGATTGTGCGCCAGTAAAGCCAGGGTCTTAGAAATAGCCCGAAAAGTCTTGCCAAGTTTACAACTTCAAGATTAGCAAGCCAAATCAGTGCTAAAAGGGGCTAAAGTAAGCCAGAGTATCTTCTCGCGCAAGATCTCAGTGAGATAGGAGAAAAGTGGCAAGTGTTAGGATCTACAATATGAACAATGCTGGAACATGTCCCTGAAGTCGAAACGAGTGCTACGTTGTCGCGATGTATCTTTTTGTATCGTTTATGTGTATGCGGTGTCAGGTCATGACATAATATGAATGCTCCTAACATATTTTGTGTGCCTTTTTTCGACCCAAAATACACTTTTGCTCTAGATTTCACTTGCAAGTACCAATAAGGTTCCTGATGGATTAGTATGTGTGAAAAGTGAGATGAGCTTAGCTTTAAGATGGCGTAGGTTACGGGTGTCTCATGGCTCCAATCTACCAATATATATAGTAGAGATTAAGACTAGATGTAACTTGACTTTCCATTAATCTAGGGTATCGTCTATATAAGTACAGTATTCCTTATCTTGCGCCCGGACTCCAACGTGAACAACATTACATAAGCAATACAATTTATCAGAGCCTCGTACTAATCTAGAGGTCTGTCAATCTTGGATCCTCACCAATATGAGGAATTTTCCTCAACACGAGACAGTTGACCCTCATCGAGTAGTCACCAAAGGGAAGGTTAAGACCTTTGGCCATCCTTGCATGCTTTCTTTACCCTACAAACGCGATGTAACAGTACAAAGTGGTGAACGGGTCTTGCGAGTTTGGTGCACAATTTTCCTTGTCTCAAATGAGACATTGGTTCAAGCAGCCAGTCTCCACATGTAGAAGTGCCCAGGGAAGCGAACCACTGCACCATGTTGCCAATTGCTACTCTATAGTAAAAAGTGTTGTGTACCATTTACAGGGCATCAATTACCCCACACCCTCTTGTTTTTAATTCAATTTACATACTGTTTAAGTCTAAGACTACTAAAGGGTATGCACTCTATCAAGACTGAATCATCTAATACCTGATCCTCGAACTCTCTCTAACCACGCATCATCCCGTCTCGACGACCAATTAAGAAGTTGCTCCAAATGCAGACAGGAGCTTGCCCTATTAATTTCCAGCCATCTCTCACTATATATCTACGACGCTATTTATACATGCAAGGAGGAAATCAAGTCGAAAAATAAAAAGCCTGGGTCTTGGCTTGTGGGGGACTGTTGCTCTAATGGGACAAACAACTTGAGGGGAAAGAGGTCTCTGAAGACCATGCAGGGACTGACATATTAGAGGAATTTTCAACTTTGGAAATTTTATGGCCGCCAAGACCGATATTTCGGCTAATTAGCCATGAGGGCTTCTTTTGTCGATGAGTCAACGACACTCCCCAGCGCCCTGGACGGCACAAAGGAAGTTGGGCTAAGCTACCAAACAGCAATCACGCTCATTCAAGACTTTTCTGAATTTTCAGCACGACCTTCGGGGAGGAGTTGGAAGGAGGCTAGAAAGGCAGAGTGTAAATTTCCCGAGGTACAAATAAATCTACAGCGCCCAGCTGGCCGGCCTCTTCGAACGCTTCAGAATGGTCACTATGTCTTCGGATCTAGTCTTAATGTCGGTATTAGGAGAGCTCCACACCCAGTGGTTTTTGCGATATTTTCCGGCTGCCCAACACCCGCAAATGGTCATTGTTTCGTTGACTGGAGAGGGGAGATGATGAAGGGCAAAGGGCTCCTCTAAGTGTATGATCGAATGAGGACTTGTGAGGGGCGGTACTATTTGAAGGGAGCTATATCAGAGGCATAGGAGGGATATACTACTGGCATAGGTATGGTCACGGTTTGACCGTTGTGTGAGCTTAGGTGGATACCCAAGCGTGATACTTAGATTGTTTATAATAAGGTCGCACGGGGAGGGAAAGATGGAACTAGATGAAACGATAATACTAATCAGGACGCTAGATCGCAGTTACAACTAAGTAGCACCCAACAATACGTGGATAGTTAGCGAATATGATGTCTGGAGGAAAGCCATCAGTTAGTAGATACACGAAGCAGATCAGTCATTATAAGTACCTGTTAGTTGTATCTAGAGTTCTCTTCTCTCCTCACATAGTTTAATAAAACGATTTATTCATCACCAACTCGGTTTCCGTCACAGGTATCCTTGGCCTGTAGGCAGAGAGGACCTGTATTTCCTCTATAGTTATAGACTCTTTTATTTGCATCAGATTTTAATTGCGTATGCAGCTATCTAGCTATGACACAATATCAAAGAAAAGTACAGAAAAGATGACTCAATTTACAAGAGGAGTACTTGTGCCTCAGATTTCATTTGCAAGTACCACTGCAAAGTTATGGCGAATTTTTCTTCACTCCAAGTCAACCGTCATCCGTGAATACTCATCCTGGGAAATGTCTGAAACCAGTCATGAGTTTGTAAAGCGCATTCATCCAAGTTCATAGTGAAGAGAAATAAGGACTTCTGACTCGCAACTAATTACAATTTCCTTTGTTTAATTCATTTCTTCCTTGCTGCATTATTTCTTCAATGAACTCAAGACTTACTGGCGCAAAAATGGGTGTGAATGAGCCGGGCAGGCCCAAAGGGTAAACCTCGGCCGACTCCACTGGTCCTACATCTAAATAGAGATAAGGTTTCGGCTAAGAACTTCAAATTGAATAAACAAATAGTGAAGGGAAACTAAGCAAATGATTTGTAGTCACGGTGCATCAACAACGTGGCCATCCTGATGGTCCCGATCACTCCGACTCTTTATACATTGAAGGAAACGGTCGTCTCTTAAAAATTGATTAATCAGGAGTGTCCAATATCTACAGCTGTACACTGCACCTTTAAGTAGCTTCATAGCAGGGCGAATCGTCCTCGAGATGAAATACTTATACAATCAATTTAACCAACCACTACGACTACTTTGTATCCAGTAGCAAGGCTTGCCAACACCAACTTCTATCACGCCTAAAGTTCTTTAGAGGGCTTAGAGGCAGGAATTATTCTGAGTGGCCTCTTGGCGTTAAATGTTTAAATTGTGATAGAAACTGAATTGGTGATGAAAAAATTGAACTACTAAACTATATGAGGAGAAAAGAGAACTCTAGCTACTACTAACAGGTATTTGTAACAATTGGTCCGCTTCGTAAATCTCCAGACTGATAATTTATCCTAAGGTACAATTTTTGCTACTCAGCCACGCATTGTTGTGTTTTTTTTTTTTTTACATCCGGTCCTAAGCTAAAGCTATGTTTTCCACATTGGGTCAAGGACCGGCGGAGCCGGCAGGGTTCCCTGTAATCTTTCCTACAGCCTAACTCGTTCCAACCTTGTGAATCGCTACCAAAAATGCAGCTGATTGAACAAGAACGAAAAATCACAAAAATCAAAACAGCTCCGAATACCAGAAGATTCCTCCATATTGGACCCAGTAAATGCGCTCCTCACACATTCCCTCGTCCGTCACACCTTCCAAATGACAAATTTGCCCATTCTCCACCGAGAGCAAAAGATGGGTTAGTAGGTACCTTTTATCCAGCCGGTATCCTGCTATTGGTTAGTAGATGCCCCAATGGGGACATCGTCGAGGTTGCTGTGTCCTCAAGCTTCTTCTTCAGCTTCCAGTGCTCCGAAACCTGTAGCCTCGGCCATCGAGACGTCCTTTGCAGCAGCGATGATCGCCTCTTCGGCATTTTTTGCTGCTGCTCGTGCTCATGCCACCTTTGAGAACTCCCCTTGTTCTATGTGGCGGATCCACGCGAGCTGCTCTTTGGTCATCGGTCCGGATTTTTTGGGTCTGACCTGGCAGGCCCGAGAATCCGATCGGTGAGGTCCCCCACAGTTGCGATACTTAGTGAGGGCCTTGCACTCGGCTTCCGAGTGCATGTTAGATCCGCAGTTCCAGCAGGCTGGAGCGCGGGAGCAACCACGGGTGGCGTGGAAGCCCAAACAGCGTTTGCACTGTTTAATTGATCGACGAGGCTTGTGGATGGTAGCCATACCCGAATCGTCGAGAATGCGGAAGCCCGGGCGAGGGGCGTTGTCCCGGGTGAAAAGGGCTTTCCAATTTCTGTACGGCGCTCCAGGACGGCATGTCCTGTGCGGTAGCACCTGGTGTGGAAGCTTATGTGTTTTTCGGTAGATCTCCAATGAGATCCACTCAGCATCAACCGTATGAATACAGTTGATTGTTTTTACGGTCCCCGGAACATTCGCGATCCGAAAGGCGACAAGGTTGGAGGCTTCCTCGAGCTTGGCGCCGAAGTCCGAAAACTTTGGCGCGGCATCTAGGAGCTCTTCCCTTTTATTTTCATTCCCTGTCAGAATCGCAAAGCCGGTTCTAACACGGTACATAGAGCAGGCGTCACTCAAGAAGCAATCTAGCTCACTCTGTAGTTGTTGCCGTAGGCCAGCAGGCGAAAGCTGGCGCCACGGGTGCTCCTTTTCTAGGCGAAGGAACAGTCGTTTGTCGACTTTCGCTTTGCGAGCTTCTTTCTTTGGGGCTTTGGCCGCAGTTCGCGGCACAGCCTTTACAGTTGGGACTGCTTTTTGTTGCAGTCCATTTCTGGCCACCGTGGCCCAGGTGCTTTTGACAGGCCGAACTGGGACGGCGGGAGTTGTGTTACTCCTGGCTTCGGGAGCCCTTGGGAGAGGGTTTGTCGGGCGAGGAGGGAGGACGGGTGGCATAGTGGCCGGGCCCGTGGCCATGTATTGCGCAATGGCGGCGCGTAAGTAGACTCTCATGGAGTCTACAAATTGTCTATTTGACCCGTTGTTCAAAGGAAGGAGGGTGGCTTCGACGCCAGAGATGGCGGCGGAGCAGAGGGCCAGGTTTGCCGCTGTTTCGGCGGTGCGTCGTTGTTCGGCTTCGACAATTGGTCGAAGCTCGAGGGAACACTCTGCTTTCGTGGCAGCTGTTGGCTGCGACGTTGATATTGATGCTGCTTTGGGTGCAGCGTTTTCCGACGGTTTTGATGTGGTCGGAGGAGATTTTGACGATTCTCCAATCCTGTGGGGGACGGGGGATGGTTGAGGAATTTCCTCAATAATTTCGACTGACCCGATCATGTCAGTATCGGACTCAGTGACGACGGGGAGGGCTTTTTCCTTCCCTTTAGTAGAGACCTTGCTCATCTCCGCACATTTCGGAGACTGGACAATGCCGGGTAATTGTTCGAGAGCCTTCGGGCGAACTCTAGTTTTGTCCAACTTGGCGTTGGGACGCTTTTTGCGAACTGGAGGCATGGTGAGAATGCCTGAGCTCGAACACAATTCAGAGATGGATGCGACGAGGTCGAAAGGGAGGAAAGAGGGAAAAATGAATCTTCGAACTTCTCGAATTGATGAAGGGTTTTTTTTTTCTTCCGTCGGGGCGCCAAGCTTAACTTAGGTCCCTACTACCCACTAAACTAACTAGAGCCATGGACGCCAGTACCTATTGCCCTGGTGGCTTCGACTTTACTACTTCCCAACTAGGTTTGCAAGGCAATTCTCTAATAACATGGTTGTTTGTAGCGTAGCACTTACACCTTATAGCTAGTCCCCGAGGCTCTTTACTCATTTGATGTATAACAACCACTCTCGAGATACTACTAGTAGATCCATCCATAAATACCGCACCATCCATCCATAATGCAAGGCTCAGGGTTGGGGCAGAGTTGAAGAACTATTTATTTCTTCTCTGGGGTTTACAGGGCAGGTCTTTATGTAAAACTCTGAAATAGAAAGCCACTTTGCTACACTAAGGGCCCCTTCCCAGGTTCCTAGCAAAAATTTCTTTGGGTCCCTTGAAGATGCTGGAGCTCGAGGAGGTCTATGAGTGGCTAGGTGGCACTCTAGGAAGTGCAATGGGGCTTTGAGCTGTCCGCAGCCACAATGTAGGTTAGCGCCCTCGTGATTGAAACGGCGGTGCTACTCTGCAAAGTCACCATGTCCTGAGCGGGCAGCGTATAGTCTAGAGAGAAATGGTCTGGCTAGTGTGAGTTCCTTAGGGTTACGAGAGTATGAGTCAATGGCAAGCTCCCTATAGAATACTGGGGCATGTCGGTCTCAGTAGTCTTTCTGTGATGGGCGATCAACAAAACAATATAGTAAAGGAATGGTGGCCGATTACTGTCTATTTTCTACATACATCTCGGAACTGTCCACCGAGGGGATGCTACTTAAGGTGTCCCAACTCCCAATGCGCTAACCTCACTATCTATTCTACTACATCATATCCTTGATATTCCGAGTGGGCTCGTCATAGCGAATCTGGGTCGTATCGGCCCATGATTCCATATGAGACTTGCTGCAACAATATCTTGTTTCCATATTTGTTGCAACCCTGTATTTGTATGGCCAAGTTGGACATCTCTCTAGATAGCAAGGCTAATGACGTAATAATGATAAGTGTCCGTGCGACAGTCACTAGGAGATAGGCGCAGCCTGTAACACTTTCATAGCCATCGATACTTCTGCCTTGATGCGATTTTTCGCGGTATCAAAAGAAACGTACCCACGGGGTATAGGCGGGGTTTTTGAAAGCCCCTCCCGGACAGAGGCATCGGCCAAAACGTTACCCAATATATCAATTGTTGTGTTTGTTTATTATTTTACGTCGTGCCAGCGCTCAACGCGTTTCCTAAGGTCAGGTGCCGCTAAGCGCTCTAGAAAAACTACCCGATGTGCCGACGCTCTTAAGCCCTCAGTATATACTAACTGGGCCTCGGCCATCATGCCAGGTGCCCTAAATTTAAAATATATCAAAAATACCCTTCCTCTGGGCCTTCGCCGGCAAAGACGAATTCTTCACCTTCCAGTGGTGCCGGTGTAATCGCTCAGTATGCTCTGCATATCTGGGATAGCCAAGAAGAATCGCATCCAAGTCGAAGTCGAAAGCAACCTCAAGCTTATCTAAAATAGACGGCTTCTCGTCAATGTCGGATCTATCATTCTCACGCGAGTCCTCCGCCTCAATCTTACTACACCACCTCGCCTCAAATACCGATAATGGCGTTACTCCGATTGCATTCGGGCATTTGCCTCATCAAAAACCGGCCATCTCCTACTACACACTTATGATGCTATGTATACCCGCAAGGAGGAACTCAAGTCATAATCTACAAAGCTCGGATCTTGGTCTATGGGGGACCTTTGCTATAATGGGGCTTCATATCTTAAGGGATGACAGGCAGCTGGGACGTGGGACGAACGAGTGAAGAGGTCACAAATGGACATGCTGGGACGCACATTTTTCGAGTATTTTCAACTTAAGGGTGTCTGTGGGCGCCGAGGCAACGATTTAGGATAGTGCTACCAACACTCTAAAAACTGGCAACGATGGAATGTGTTTTGGTCCGTCTCCTGGTCGTCATCTCCCCGAATTAAAGTCTGGGTAGTCTGGACACCTACCTCACTCGAGAAAAGGAGGACTGTGAGGCCATAACTCGCGCGGCAGCTATATAAGATGGCAAAGGCATGTTAGGGTAGCCAAAGGTTTTTCCTATTATACTGTCGGGATATTTTAGCGGTTGAGGGAAGGGTGAGAGTCCCTAGCACAAAGGCCCCGAGTGATAACAGCGAATGCACCCACTACATGAGTAGTCCAAATGTCAAACTGAGTTATCGTCGTATATAGTCGTCGGTGAAGGACTCGCCTCCCCGTGTCATGATCTTCGAGTGCAGGGCTTGTGCCCGTCATGAATAAACTCTCATTCATTCATTCCTCTGGGCCTTCTGTTAACTACACCGCAGACAGAATGAAAATGTAAATCTACGTGGTGGAGAGGAGAAACAATCTACCACTGGTACAGACAGAGCTACTAGCAAGTAATTGAGTCCCGCTAAATAGTTAGTATGGAGCGAGTGTAAAAGCTGGGAGCGAAAATGGTCTCTTCGAAAGACTTAGTCTTGTCCCAGCCACGCATTGAAGGGTGTTACTTAGTTGTAGCAACGCTTCGACCTTCTGGCTAGTAGTTCCGTTTTGTTCAGTTTCATCTATTCCTCCAAATGCAGCCTTGTCATAAAAATTCTCAACAATACGCTCAGGTATTCACCTAAGCTTAAATAACAGTCAAACCGTAACATTATAAAAATAAAATATCATAACTTGTAACAATATAATTATTTTGCCAACAGTTGTTTTAGTATTTATTGTGGTATGAGAGTCAATGACCATTGCGCACGTTGGGCTCTTTATGCTCAGGTCACACCTTCTGCAGTGTTCCTCTTCTCTTATGTTACGAAAAAAGATATTCAATGTAATACCCGTGACGGACAGTAACTGAACTCAGTATTTACTTGTGGAATTTAACATTCTTTTCGACGGAGCCTGAAAAAAACCTGCACTAGAGACTGTATGCGCAGAAAAAATTCTCAAAAGTCTTTTAGGCGTAGCCACGTTCACACAAAGTGCGCGTATCTATCAACATATCCCTTCTTTGTAGCATAAAAGGCCAGCTTGATTCAATCCACTGCTGTCGCATTGAGAGCTAAGTATACTACAAACACCTATTAAATAGTATTTTCTCCACAACTAAGGGTAGATGATGAGTAGAGCTTGAAACCTGGCATTGGATCAGAAGATGGTTAGATTGATAAAAATGGTGGTGGGAGGATGTGTTGAGAGATCATGACAGTATACGCCACGAAACTAGTCGGGGATGATGCTATTCTTCTTGGCCATTCCAAATATGCAAAGCTTACCAAGCCTCTGCATCGGCACTGCTAGGAGGTGAAGAAATCGTCATTGTCGGCTGTATTGTGAGGTTACGGATCGTGGAGGAATGCTGGAATGCTGGAATGATAAAGGGAGGTGAAGGATATCTGCCGAACAACGAAGTAGCTGAATAGAGCTTTAAGGTGAAGCTTAATAGGGTGACACAAAGAGGGGTTGAATAGACCTTCAGAGATATTCAGTAATTTTAAGAGCCTAAAGTCATCTGAAGGAGAAGAACTCTACATATATATGTGGGAATTAGTCCTATTGAGCCGAATTTAGAAATAAACCAGGATATGCGCCCATGTCCCAGTATTTGGGTTCCTGATGGATTAGTATGTGTGAAAGTTAGATAAGCTAATCTTTGTGATGGTTTGTGTTACGGGTGTCTCATAGCTCCATACTACCAATATGTATAATAGAGCTTAAGACTGGATGTAACCTGATTTTCTATTAATACAGAGTATTTTCTACTTAATTACAGTATTCCTTATCTTGCGCCTGGACTCCAACATGAACAATATTACATAAGCATTACAATTTATCAGAGCGTCGTACTAATCTAGAGGTCTTTCAATCTTGGATCCTCAGCACGTCGACGTTATCATGGTGAAAGTATGCCTTGGCCACCAGTAGGCCCCCAAGCTAGCTAAGTGTAAGACAGAATTATGCATGTACCATAGTTTCCAACATATCTTGTGTAAAGCGCCAAGAATAATTAATATTACAGAAGATAGATGTCACAACGGTGGATCTGGTTTGCTGGATGCGTAACAGAAAGAAGTCACAAGGGTAAGTAATCAGGATAGGTAACAAGGATATGATCGTGTTGTGCGATGGGAGCGTAATAGATGACTGTGTACACGAGAAACAACCAAATACCCAAACACTTCACACTAACCTAATATGGTACATAGTCCCGTGACAATAGATGTGGCGCAGTATTGAATGATACGAAGAACGGCAACGAAACGTCTCCCTTCACATCCACTTACTCTTATATCATTTTCTCCATTTATTACAGCATTTTTGTTTGGACATCGCGCTCGCGATGGCCAAATCGCAACATCCACCTCCCTTGGCCCAGCGCGTCGCTGATGAACTCGACCTTGTCCAACGTGTGGCAAAGAGTAGAGCTACCTGGGTTCAAAACTTTCACAACAAGTTCTGGTCAGCCGTTGAAGAGGCTGATCCTCTCATCAAAACCTTCGTGCGCGAGCAAATGGACGCGTTTCTACTTGCGGTTGCCTCCGGGCACCCTATGCGACACGATAATCCAAGACAACCCAAGACGGCAAGCCCCCTTCCCAAGCCCAGCCAAATTCTACCATCACGACCTCCCGTCCCCATCTCAAAGCAACCTCAAAGCTGGGCAGCGACCGCCGCCGCCCCTCCTGCCACCAATCCCCCTACTCATGCGTCGTCCTCGGCCCCTCCCAACGCAAAACACCGTCCTTTTTACACGCCAGCTCCTAAACAGGCTGCATCCACTACTGGCCTCAAAGCCATCTTTCGTCTCTCGGAGGATGCTCCACTTCTCAGAGCAGACGCAACTTCAGTCAAGGCTGCTTTCATTCGCATTGTTCCTGGGCTCAAGGACGGCATAGTCTCCGTTTCTCGCAGCTCAAATGGATTCATCATCTCGTTTTCGTCCGACACATCGCGGAAACTGGCGTTGGATAACGCTGACTCGATAAAGGCGTCTCTTTCTGGATCCCTTTTTCAAATTGAGGACCGCATCGGGTACGTTGTCAAGCGTATCCCGCGCACTATCTGGAACCCGGTTTCCAACGTGGTCCCCACTACACTTGACGATGTCAA